ACATAGGCTGTCAGCACGTGGCAGAGCCCGTCACTTTGTCTTTTCACACCGAAGGGTTTGAATCTTGGGATCTGCCCTCACTGGTCCCTCCCCCTTCTTCCCATCCCCTCCCCAGCCAGCCTGCCCTGTCCCAGGAGTCACAGTCCTGGGGTTGCCTGAGTAGTGCTGAGAGGCCTGGGTCATTTCTGGGTGGTGGCAAGTAAGGGCTCAGCCCAGTCCTCACTTTGGGGACAGTTGCCTTAAGAATATCTATCTCCAGTGGGTGTTTCAAAGGTCCTGTCCTCATCCCCATTCCTATCTCCCCTTGCTGCCCTCAGGGACACTGTGTTGAGGGGAAGCAGGCTGCCCCCAGCCTTTGGGAATGCTGGGCACCTAGGGAGGGGCACGGAGGCAGCAGCAGCGCCACCTTGGGCTTGATGGGAGAGCGCAGACCCCCCTTGGGGTGGGGTCCAGAGGTGAGGGAGGGGAGGGACTGGCTGCGGTGCTGACTCCTGGGGCTTCCAAGGACCCCCCCAAGTTGGAGGGAGAAGGGATTCTCCATTTTGTGGCAGGGAGGTGGCTCAGGGTTGGTGGAGCTGTGCCTGCCGAGGGGAAGTGGGAGGAAGTGTCCTCGGGTGCTTGTCTCTTGGGGGCAGGGGAGAGGTTATGGGGTACAGAGAAGACTGAGGCAACTTTCTTCACCCATTTCTGTCCCCCAGTGCCTGCTTCTTGAGGAGGATGAGATGGGAAACTGGCCTCCTTAGTGAAGCCGGCGCTGGCCCCGAATCTGCCCTGCCCAGATCTCCGGAGCTGGTACATGGGGGTATCTCTCTTCTTAGGGTACATCTAAGGAGCCCCTGTGACCAGCGGGTCTTGAGACAGTGTCCATGTGTCTGTAAGATGGGTCTGCCCCAAATTCTATCCCACCCAGCCAACTCGGGCCTGTGATGTTATTAATAAAAATCTACTTTGACTTGGCCTCATTGTTAGCTGTCTTTGGACCCCGCCCCTCAATCTTCAACCCTGGAGCAAGCCCAGTCTATCTGAGGCTTTGATCTAGTCCCCAGTCTATGCCCAGGGGGCTGCTAGGGCTGCCCTGCTGCAGAGTGGAGGGGCTGCCGCAGGGCGTCTGAGCAGAGAGGGCAGGAGTCTGGCTGGCCTGACCTGGGGCTGGTGAAGGACCCAGGGCCCAGAGTGCCAGGGCCGTCCACAAGCCCTGCCCCTGTTAGGAGGGGTGCCCCTGACTTCCCTCCCTCCCTAAGTTCCCAGGCCTTGCCGTAGCCTCCTAGGGAGGATCCGGGAATTCTCCCGCAGGAAGTTCCTGCCCAGCCCGCCCAAGGACAAAGCCAGGAAAGAGGCCCTGGGACAGGGGATCTGCCTCGGGAGGGCCGGCCTGGGTAGGCCAGGGGTCCCTGGTGTCCAGTGTTGCCTAATCTCAAAAGTAAAGGTGGGCTTGGGGTGGGGTGCCTAATGACAGGCCCTTACTGGCCAGGGAAGGAGACCGACACACCTGGCTTCCCAGAGATGAGATGGGCAGCAGGGCCAGGCCTAGTTTGGACACCAGGAGGTGCTGTTCACCAGAAGGTCCTGCTGGCTTCCCTGTGGGGTCCCCCCTTCCTTCCTTTCTGCCTGGGTCCAGGCTCTGAGGCCCTTCAGCCGATGTATGAGAAAAAAAGCTCACTGTCCCCAACTCTTTTCAACATGACTGCTATCCATGGAAGCTCGTCTGATGGTCCCCATGGGTCCCCACGGTGTCTAGCCTGAGGCCTGTTGCAGAGCTGAAGTTCAATGTCAGAACATGATGGCCATTCTTAGTCATCACTGTGATTGATAACCACAGCTGTTGGTTGGATGGCTGGCCCTGTGGCCACAGACTTAGCGTGGGGAGACAGAAACTAGCAGCTGGTCCCCTGCCCTGACCCAAGCCAGCCCAGTGAAGGTGGGAGTCCCCGCTTCTGTCCCCCAGCCTGCAGGGCATGGGTGGAGCCTGGAGAGGGCTGAGGGCTTTCTCCTGGGCTTCCTGGCCAGATCGCATGGAGTCCTTGACTCAGACCCTGAGCTGGGGCTGGGTGGAAAGGCCCATCTGGACTGTCCCCCTGAGTCAGCCAGGAGGCGGCCTTGTGACCAGATGACTCACCTGTGCCCTAATTGCCCTGTTAATCATTTCCTCCAGAGTGTTCTCTGTTGGGAAGGGTGGGGCCTTGCAGGGCTTCCCTGGGAGCACCTGGATGCGGGAGGGAGGGGCGGAGGGGGCAGAAACCTTGGTTCGGGGTGTGGGACCCTGGGCTGCTCACCGTTCCTCTCTGTTCCTCATTTTCCCTGTCTGTCCAGTGAGGCCCATGGCACCTTCTCGTCCGCTCCTGGGATTCCTCTGAACTGCGGGGGTCTGTGAGGCTGGGAAGTGTGGTGTGGTTTGCTGGTGCTGTCCCTGGAGCAGGAGGGGGTCTGTGTGCTGGAACAGGCCTGAGGGCCTCTTCCCAACCACACAGCATCCTGGGCTGGTTTCTACGGAAGGGCTTGGCTTGACATTTCTGAGTGGTGAAGGCAGAGGTGACCCAAGGACCTGCTGTGGGGGAAGGCCCCGTGGGTGAGTGCACAGGGCTGGGCTCTGGTCAAGGCCAGAATGGTGAGAGCCCAAGCGTTCCTGAAAGGCCTCAGAGAACACAGCAGGGGCAGGCCTGTGGGGTGGCCCGAGGACTGGGGAGCACTGCAGCATTGCCTTCTCCCCCTGGCATAGAGATATCTGGGGACGGCTTCCATGGACCCTCCTGCAGCAGCACACTCACTTGGCGGAAGGGCCAGCGGGACTGAAGCCCAGCCCATCGCACTCACTCGCCAGGCCCTGGGAGGGGTAGTATTCCCCTGGAGGGTGCCTTTCCTAACTTGCTCAAAAGGGGCAATGGGCTGGCAGTGGCCCTGATTGCATCCATGAGGTTTGGAGCGTTGCAAAGGGACTTGCCAAGTCTGTCACTCTCCCGGTCTCTCTCTGTTGGTATGTAAGTGTGTCTCTGTGTGTGTGTTTCTGCCTCTGTCCCTGTCTCCCCACGTCTCCCTGTGTCTCTGTCTCTCTCACTGTATCTCAGGTGGGACGAAGGCAAAAGCAGAGGCACCCAGGTCCATTCTGAGAGAGTTTAGGGACTCAGTGGTGGTTGAAAGGAAGGCAGTGGGTTGGGTCATTTAGGAGCTGGGGGTCAGGGTGGGTGGCCCCAGGAAAATGTGGGCAGGGCCAAAGGTGGGCCTGCCCACCTCAGGAGACTGTATGATCCCCCTCCTGTGGCCCCCTGACCAAGACCTCCCAGGGAGATGGTGCCTCAGGCCCTGTCTGGGGTCACTGGGTGTCAGCCTTGCCTATACTAGGGTGAAGTGAAGGCAAAACCAGATATTTTGTCCCCCTTCTCAACTAGGAGATGAGCTGGAAAGCAGAGAGGCAGAGGGGAGAGACTCACCTGGGTTGAAACCCGGATCCCACTACAGCAAGCTCATATGACGGTGGACAAGTCTCATATCTCTCTGAATCTCAGTCTCCACATCTATGCAATGGGTGAATCATAGGCTTCTCATGTGAGCTGAATGAAGAGCTGCTTGGCTCATAGAAGATTCTCAAAGAATCCACGGGGCCAGGCACAGTGGCCTACGCCTGCAATCCAGCACTTTGGGGGGCCATGGCAGGTGGATCACCTGAGGTCAGGAGTTCAAGACCCGCCTGGTCAAAATGATGAAACCCCATCTCTACTAAAAATACAAATAAATTAACTGGGCATGGTGGTGGGCGCCTGTAATCCCAGCTACTCGGGAGGCTGAGGCAGGAGAATCACTTGAACCTGGGAGGCGGAGGTTGCAGTGAGCTGAGATCGCGCCATTGCACTCCAACCTGAGCGACAAAAGTCAAACTCCGTCTAAAAAAAAAGAATCCATGGAACCATTTTTATGAAGCATCTACTACATGCTAGTCCTGTTCCAGGCAATGGGGAATAGAGCAGTGAACAAGACATACACAACCTCCACTTTGGGGGGCTTACATTACTGCTAGTGAGACAAACAATAAACAGATATGCCAGGGTGACAGGTGCTATGAAGAAAGCTGAGACTGGATAGTGGGGGGATATCACAGAGGGATGGGGAGGCCTTGCTGAGGAGGTCGTGTGCTGGAAGCCAGGGAGGGAGCCATCGGGGGAAGGGCAGCCGCAGGCACAGCAAGTGCGTCGCCCTGAGGCGAGAGCAGGCCTGGTGGGTTTGAGGAAAGGGATCCGTGCAGCTGGAAGGGCGTAAGTGGGAGGGAGTGGAACAGGAGGTGAGGTCACAAAGGATGTGTGGAGATGATGTGCTTTGCTGATCAGGGGTTTAGAGGTTTGTTTCTCTCTCTTTTTTTCTCTGTCGCTCGGGCTGGAGTGCAGTGGCGCGATGACAGCTCACTGCAGCCTCCACTCCTGGGCTCAATTGATCCTCCCGCCTCAGCGAGGACCGCAGGCGCGCGCCACCGCACCAGTTGGGATTCTCGGATCCAGTGTGGAGAGATGTGATGTGCATTTTTAAAGCTCCCTGGGCTGCCGAGGAGGGAAGGCTGTAGGGGGCGGGGCCTGAAACAGGGAGGCAGGTTCCCAGGCTGCCGCAGACGTGGGGCGGGGTCGTCTGGCTGTGACTTACTACAGAGGTTGTGAGGGGGAACCAGGGGGTACTTACCACTAGGGGGAGCGCCTTGGCCAACACCTCTGCTCAGTGGGGAGCCAGGCCGGCCCCAGGTGGTACCTCCCCCTTGCCCCACATGAGGGACTTGCGGGGGACTTTGTCTTCATCATCCGCAGGGTGGAGCGGGGTGGCTTGGGACCTGGAGTCCGGGAAGAGTCGAAGGCCTGTGGGCGGCCGAGGTCACGCGTGGGCGCCTGCCGGGGGAGGGCGGAACCAGGAGGTTGGCACCGCAGTGCCTGTGTGCACCGAAGCGCAGCAAACACGTCTCGGCCGAGACTGCCCGGCCACCCAGACTCCAGCGGAGCGTGCGTACTTGGGCAGTCGCGCGCATCTGAGAACCGCCGAACCGTGCCACATTTCCGTTCCTTCTGGCCTCGCCCTCAGGGGTCGACCGGCGGCAGAGCGCGGCGCCTCCTGTGCTGAAGAAAGCTCCCTGGCCTCCAGAAACTCAGTCAGTGGTGGGAGGGCCGGAACAGACCCGCGCAGTTAACCAGATGATGATGTTGCTGTAGTATAGCTTGGAGAGTGCAGAGAAGGAAGCAAGCAATGCCAGCAAGGAGGAATCCAGAAGGCTTCCAGGAGAAGTCACCATTTGTGATTTGGGCTTGCATCAGGAGGAGGAAGTTGACAGGTGAAATAAGGGGAGGGCATGCCTGCCAGGCAAACAGTCTGTGATTGGGAAGAGTCCAGTCTGCACCATGACCCCACTTTCTACCTTCCTGACCAAGTAGGAACCATTTGGACTCCTCTACTGTCCTGGGCCTCCTTGTTTAGTCCACTATTTTATTTTATTTTATTTTATTGAGATGGAGTCCCTCTCTGTGGCCCAGGCTGAAGTGCAGTGGCGCGATCCCGGCTCACTGCAACCTCTGCCTCTGAGTTCAAGCGATTCTCCTCCTTCAGCCTCCCGAGTAGCTGGGATTACAGGTGCCCGCCACCGTGCCTGGCTAATTTTTTTTGAGACGGAGTCTCACTCTTGCCAGGCTGCAGTGCAGTGGCGCTTTTTCAGTTCACTGCAACCTCTGCCTCCCAGGTTCAAGCAATTCTCCTGCCTCAGCCTCCTGAGTAGCTGGGACCACAGGCACGCACCACCACACCCGGTTAATTTTTTGTATTTTTTTTTTTTTAGTAGAGACGGGGTTTCACCACGTTGGCCAGAATGGTCTCAATCTCTTGACCTCGTGATCTGCCCATCTCGGCCTCCCAAAGTTCTGGGATTACAGGTGTGAGCCACCACACCCAGCCTTTTTTTTTTTTTTTTTGAGAGTCTCACTGTGTTGCCCAAGCTGCAGTGCAGTGGTGCAATCTCGGCTCACTGCAAGCTCTGCCTCCCGGGTTCACGCCATTCTTCTGCCTCAGCCTCCCAAGTAGCTGGGACTACAGGTGCCCACCATCATGCCTGGCTAATTTTTTGTATTATTAGTAGAGACAGGATTTCACTGTGTTACCATGCCTGGCTAATTTTTGTATTTTTAGTAGAGATGGAGTTTCACCATGTTGGCCAGGCTGGTCTCGATTGCCTGACCTCAGGTGATCCGCCCTCCTTGGCCTCCCACAGTGCTGGGATTACAGGCGTGAGCCACTGCACCCAGCCCACCCATTTATGTTTAGCTCATTTTCTCTCCGCCATCTGATCCACTCAACACCCCCACTCTCACTGCCTTTGCTGGAGCCCTAAATCACCACCCTAGCCTTCCATCCTCTCTCTGCATCTGCCCCACCACTGCCAGGGTGCTGTGGGCTCTCTTCTTGTCTCCCCCTCTATAACCCATACCCATCCTGTACAGCTCAGCCATGGCACCTGCTCCAGCCCTGGTTTCCTCACAGCTCCCTGGTTTTAGGGCTAACAGGATTCGCTGCATGTGTTTACTTGCTCTCCCCACAGGAGGCAAACACAGCATAAAGGCAAGCCCTGGGGGTACGGGCGGGGGTTTCGGGGGAGCTTTGTTTCCATTGTCTGCAGTGTCCAGCACAGTGTCAAGTTCAATATATGGCACTAGACTGAATGAGCAGAGGGTGGCTTGCAAAAGGAGGCTTAAAAATAAGGGTGGGTGAGAGCTGGAGAAGCAGGCAGGGGCTGGATTATATAGGGCCTTACAAGCCAATTTAAGCAGCTTGGCATTCATCCTCAGGGCAATGGGAGCCAGGGCTGGAGACCTGGGAGAGTGGCCTGGTAAGATGTATAGCGATGGGGCAGGAGCTAATGTGGAGGCCTTCACAATGGTCGCAGTGAGAGAGAAGTGAACCTGAACTGGGACAGTGGCAGGTGGAGTGGACAGGAAAACAGAGAAGTGGTTCTCAACTGGGGGCAATTTTATCCCCGCCCTGAAACATTTAGCATCACCTGGAGACAGTGATGTCACAACTCGGGGAGTGCTACTGGCATCGAGTGGGTAGAGGCCAGAGACGCTGCTAAATGTCCTACAATGCACGGGACAGCCCCCATGACAAGGAATGATCTGGCCTGAAGTGTCAGCAGTGCTGAGGGTGAGAAACCCTGCCCTAGAGGAAAACCCAGAGAATCGCCTCCTCGGTGGAGGGAAATGGAGCACATCTCAGCCTGAACTCTCAGAGCCACGCTGAGGCCTGGTTCTTCTGTATTTTAGCCATGTAACAACCCTGAGCGAGTCACTCAACCTCTTTGCACATTGGTTTCCTCTTTTTTTTTTTTTTTTTTTTTAGATGGAGTTTCGTTCTTGTCACCCAGGCTGGAGTGCAATGGTGTGATCTTGGCTCACTGCAACCTCCGACTCCCAGGTTCAAGTGATTCTCCTGCCTCAGCCTCTCAAGTAGCTGGGATTACAGGCATGCACTGCCACATCCAGCTAGTTTTGTATTTTTTTTTTTTTGAGACGGAGTCTGGCTCTGTCGCCCGGGCTGGAGTGCAGTGGCCAGATCTCAGCTCACTGCAAGCTCCGCCTCCCGGGTTTACGCCATTCTCCCGCCTCAGCCTCCTGAGTAGCTGGGACTACAGGCGCCGCCACCTCACCCGGCTAGTTTTTTGTATTTTTAGTAGAGACAGGGTTTCACCGTGTTAGCCAGGATGGTCTCGATCTCCTGACCTCGTGATCCGCCCGTCTCGGCCTCCCAAAGTGCTGGGATTACAGGCTTGAGCCACTGCGTAGTTTTGTATTTTTAGTAGAGATGGGGTTTCTCCATGTTGGTCAGGCTGGTCTCTAACTCCCAACCTCAGGTGATCCGCCCCCCTCAGCCTTCCAAAGTGCTCGGATTATAGGCGTGAGTCACCGCACCAGGCTTTCCTCATCTTTAATAAAGGTATTGGGAGGATTAAGTGGTTGAATGCATATTCAGTGCCTAGGAAAGAGACTGACACATAGTAAGCACTATGTCCCTGAACTACCGTGATTTTAAAGCATCAGGCCTCTGTCCAGACTCCCGCACTGACTCCACATTGCCCCAGTCCTTCAAGGGCTGATAAGGCCCCTGGCATCTGGCTCTTTCTACGTCTACGACCCCATCTCCTCTTGCTCTCCTTCTTGTTCTACATGCCCTGTCCACCCTGGAAATTTTTTTTTTTTTTTGAGATGGAGTCTCACTCGCTCTGTTGCCCAGGCTGGAGTGTAGTGGCAGGATCTCGGCTCCTGGGTTCCACCTCCACCTCCTGGGTTCAAACAATTCTCCTGCTTCACCCTCCCAAATAGCTGGGACTACAGGCGTATGCCACCATGCTTGGCTAATTTTTGTATTTTTAGTGGAGCTGGGATTTCACCATATCGGCAAGGCTGGTCTCGAACTCCTAACCTCAGATGATCCACCTGCCTCAGCCTCCCAAAATGCTAGAATTAGAGGTGTGAACCACTGTACCCAGTCACACCCTGGGTTCTTTGCTGTTCCTTGCCCACACCCAGCTTACCCTGCCTCAGGGCCTTTGCCCTTGCTGTTCCCTCTGCCTTGGAGACGTTGCCTTTGGGAGTCTATGTGATTCACTACCTCACCTCCTGAGGCTTCTGCTCAGCTGTCACTTTCTAAGGGGGTATCTCTAAACCACACAATGTTTAAAAAAAAAAAGGCAATGGGTGCCGGGGCTTACACTTGCAATCAGTCCAGCACTTTGGGAGGCCAAGGTGGGTGGATCACTTGAGCCCAGGAATTTGAGAACAGCCTGGGCAACAAGGTGATTTTTTTACTTTTCAACAGCTAATTTTGTATTTTTAGTAGAGACAGCATTTTGCCATGTTGGCCAGGTTGGTCTCCATGCTAGCCAGACTGGTCTTGAACTCCTGGCTTCAAGTGATCTGCCCACCTTCGCCCCCCAAAGTGTTGGGATTACAGCGTGAGCCACCATGCCCAGCCTATTTTGCCCTGCTTTATCTTTCCTGAGATCACTTTCATCATCTAACATATTATATATTTAACTGAAATGTAAGTTTCATGAAGGCGGGCATTGTTGCCTGTTTTGTTTGCTGCTGTGAGCCCAGTTGCCTAGCATATATAAAGTATTCCTTAAACATAGCCAGGCATGGTAGCTCGCACATGTGGTCCCAGCTATTTGGGAGGCTGAGGCCAGAGGATCACTTGAGCAAGACCAGCCTAGGCAACATACCAAGACCCTGTCTCAAACAAAAATCAAACATAAAATATTCCTTAAATAGTGCTTGAATGAATGGAGCAAGTGGAAGACTCTACTAGGAGTCAGAGAAGCAGGAAGGGAATGGAGAGAAGATAGGATGGTGGAAAGGAGTGCAGGGGCTGAGTGGATCCTGAGAGAGGGTGGGGTCCTGGCCTGGCCTGGGGCACGGAGCCTCAATCGTCTGCTGTCCCCAGGCCCTTCCACCCAGGTCTGCTCTGCTTAGCAGCTCCTAGACATGGCTCTTCCAGCCCAGGCAGATGGCCAGGCCTGAACAGAGTGTCCTTTCCCCTCTGATAAGCTGCCTCCTTTCATGGGCACGAAGGGCAGGATGTGTCCTGCTGCTCAGGAAGTGCCCAAGGGTCTGGGCAGGCCCCTGGAGTGGGCAAGGGGCTGGGCATCTGCCACCTTGGCAGCTACCCTGTGTGGAGGCAAGGCAGAGAGGAGCAAGGAGCAAGGGGCAGGGGTCAGGGCAGATCCCAATCCCTCCCCAACATGCCCCACTCCTCATTCAGTAAACAAAGCTCTATTTAAATTTTTTTTTTTTTTTTTTTTTTTTTTAGACAGAATTTCACTCTTGTTGCCCAGGCTGGAGTGCAATGGAGTGATCTTGGCTGACTGCAGCCTCTGCCTCCTGGGTTCAAGCGATTCTCCTGCCTCAGCCTCCCAAGTAGCTGGGATTACAGGCACCACCATGCCCAGCTGATTTTGTATTTTTAGTAGAGATGGGTTTTCTCCATGTTGGTCAGGCTGGTCTCGAACTCCCAACCTCAGGTGATCCGCCTGCCTTGGCCTCCCAAAGTGCTGGGATTACAGGTGTGAGCCACCACACCCAGCCAACAAATCTCTATTGAGAGGCTGTTGGGAGTACAGCTGTGAATAGTCCCTGCCCTGGCCGGGTTTCTGTGATTGGCTGCAGCTCAGTTTCTTTTGAACCTGAGAGCCCAGGTGTAGGTTTCCAGCCCCCTAACCCCAACAGGCCTTTTTTTTTTTTTTTTTTTTTTTTTGATACAGGGTCTCACTCTGTTGCCCAGGCTGGAGTACAGTGGCACAATCTCAGCTCACTGCAGCCTCAAACTCCTGGGCTCAAGCAATCCTCCTGCCTCAGCCTCCCAACTGGCTGGGACTATAGGCACGCATCACCACACCTGTCTACTTTTTTGTAGAGATGGGGTTTCACCACGTTGCCCAGGCTGGTCTCAAACTTTTGGGATCAAGTGATCCACCTACCTTAGCCTCCCAAAGTGCTGTGACTACAGGTGTAAGCCACTGCACTGAGCAAATGTTTTTTTGTTTGTTTGTTTGTTTGTTTTTTCTTTCTTTTTTTTTTTCCAGACAGTCTTGCTCTGTCGCCGAGGCTGGAGTGCAGTGGTATGATCTTGGCTCACTGCAACCTCCACCTCCTGAGTTCAGGTGATTCTTCTGCCTCAGCCTCCCAAGTAGCTGGGACTACAGGCACACGCCACCAGCAAATTTTGTAAAATGCTTTTTATGGAGGTGGGGTCTTGCTGTGTTGGCCAGGCTCACAAGCCTCCTTCTTGCTCAGCACACACTACTGACTTGGCCCCTCCCTCCAGGAGACTTTTGCTGTCTGTGGCCTTCACTGTCACTGACAGGCAGGGTGGGCCAGGCTCCGTGCTCTCTGGCCCCGTCTTTGAATCTGCACCATGGATGCTCGCCTAGGTTCTATCGGTGTGCTCCAGGGCCTGTAACCTCTGAGGTCCCAGTTAGCACAGAAAGAGAGACCGTTTCTGAGATGTCATCTGTGATGGTTTCAAACGTGGCACCAACATTCTTTGGCACTCTTCCCACTGAGACATAGTATCTATATCCCTCTCCCTGATTCTGGGAGGCTATGACTGCTTCTCTTAGTAAAGTTGGGTGGATAAGTAATAAAAGGCCATGCAGTTTTCGTCTGCTTTTCTCAGGACACTTGCTCTGGGGTAAGCCAGCCCCATGTAAGAAGTCTGACTGCCCTGAGATTGTTGTGAAGCTGGAGAGGCCAGGTGGAGTCGCTCTGATCTACAGCACCCCCAGCTGAGCTCTCAGCTAACAGCCAACACCAGCTGCCAGCCATGGGAGGGAGTGGTCTTACGCCGTGTGTCCAACTGAGTCTTTCAGATGACTCCAACCCCAGGCAACATCAGACTGCATTGACATGAGAGACCCCAAGCGAGAACTGCCTAGCCAGGCCCTTCCCAAATTCCTGACCCACAAACCCACAAACTTTAGAGCAAAACAAAATGGCTGCTGCTTCACACCACTAAGCCTCTGATGTGTTATGTAGCAGTAGTCATCCCTAGATGTCTGCGGGGCACTGGGTCCAGGAACCCTCTTGGATCATCATGGGATTCCCTTCTGAGGATGCTTAAGTCCCTTACATAAAATGACATAATATTTGTGTATGGCCGGGCGCGGTGGCTCAAGCCTGTAATCCCAGCACTTTGGGAGGCCGAGACGGGTGGATCATGAGGTCAGGAGATCGAGACCATCCTGGCTAATATGGTGAAACCCCGTCTCTACTAAAAAATACAAAAAACTAGCCGGGCGAGGTGGCGGGCGCCTGTAGTCCCAGCTACTCGGGAGGCTGAGGCAGGAGAATGGCGTAAACCCGGGACTCAGAGCTTGCAGTGAGCTGAGATCTGGCCACTGCACTCCAGCCTGGGCGACAGAGTGAGACTCCGTCTCAAAAAAAAAAAAAAAAAAAAAATTTGTGTATAACCTGCATCTATTCTCCCATACACTTTAAATTATCTCTAGCTGGGCTCAGTGGCTTATACCTGTAATCCTAGCACTTTGGGAGGCTAAAGCAGGAGGATTGCTTAAGGCAGGAGTTTGAGACCAGCTGGGGCAACATAGCAAGACCTTGTCTCTACTAGAAATTTCAAAAAATAAATAAGTTGGCCGGGCGTGGTGGCTCATGCCTGTAATCCCAGCACTTTGGGAGGCCTGACGTTGGGAGTTTGAGACCAGCCTGACCAACGTGAAGAAACCCTGTCTCTACTAAAAATACAAAATTAGCCGGACATGGTGGCACATGCCTATAATCTTAGCTACTCGGGAGGCTGAGGCAGGAGAATTGCCTGAACCCAGGAGGCGGAGGTGGCGGTGAGGCGAGATCGCGCCATTGCACTCCAGCCTGGGCAACAAGCAAAACTCCGTCTCAATAATAATAATAAGTTAGCTGGGCATGGTGCCTGCATCTGTAGTCCCAGCTACTTGGGAGGCTAAAGTGGGAGGATCACTTGGGCCCAGGAGATTGAGGCTGCAGTGAGCCATGACTGTGCCATTGCACACCAGTCAGGGCAACAGTAATTATAATACTGAATACAACTGTTTTTTTTTTTTTTTCGAGACAGAATTTTGCTCTGCCACCCAGGCTGGACTGCAGTGGCACAGTCTCGGCTCACTGCAACCTCTGCCTCCCGGGTTCAAGCAATTCTCCTATCTCAGCCTCCTGGGTAGCTGGGATTATAGGCACCTGCCACCACACCCAGCTAATTTTTGTATTTTTTAGTAGAGACAGGGCTTTGCTATGTCGGCCAGGCTAGTCTGGAACTCCTGACCTCAGGTGATCCACCTGCCTCAGCCTCCCAAAGTGCTAGGATTACAGGTGTGAGCCACCATGCCCAGCCCTGAATACAATTTAAATGCTACGTAAATTGTTATTATACTATACTGTTTTAAAATATGTGTTATTTTTATTTTATTTTTTCAAATATTTTCAAACTGAAGTTGTTTACATCTGTGGATATGGAGCCACAGATACAGAGGGCTGACTGGAGTAAGCAGAACATTGCTCAAAGCCCTTCCCGGTTCATTCCTTAGTCCCTGCCTACCATAGTTCCTAGGCTGAACCCTCGCTGGACTGGACCCAAAGCTGGGCGATGGCTCACTGGGCTCTGAAAATGCAATGAGGGAGTGAGGCAGGCTGCCCATCATTCCTCCAGCCCCCAGGGGGTAAACAGAAAGCACTTGGCCAACCCTGATGGCAGTGAGAAGCCACGCACCTGACAGATGAGCCACTAGCAGCACGTCCCACCCCAGTCCCTACTGTTTGGTCAGGACCAACATGTCCCTGATGTTTGCCTTTGTGCCCGTGCTGGCCTTTAGCCAGGCCCTGCCCTCAGCCTCTGGCACCCCACGTCTCCAAGGCCTGAGCTCCTATCCCTGGCCTACTGGCTGAGCAGGACGAGAGCCGGATGAAGACAGGATGAGCCGTCACCAGGGATCCTCACCTCGGGGAACTGAGGCCTTAGATGTGGCTGGGACTGGAGTCAACACTAGAAAGACTGGCAAGAGAAGGGTATGTGGGAAGGAGGCTGGGAAAAGGGGTGCCTCTGGAGGGGAGGGAATGTCTGGGGCTGATGGAAGGAGATGTTTTTCTGTCTACCTCTTTTTTTTCTTGAGATGGAGTCTCACTCTGTCACCCAGGCTGGAGTGCAGTGGCGTGATCTCAGCTCACTGCAAGCTCCACGACCTGAGTTCACGCTATTCTCCTGCCTCAGCCTCCCGAGTAGCTGGGACTACAGGCACCCGCCACCATGCTCAGCTAATTTTTTTGTATTTTTAGTAGAGACAAGGTTTCACCGTGTTAGCCAGGATGGTCTTGATCTCCTGACCTCGTGATCTGCCCGCATACACCTCCCAAAGTGCTGGGATTACAGGCGTGAACCACCACGCCCAGCCTGTCTGCCTTTTTGTTGTTGTTTTTTGAGACAAAGTCTTTCTCTGTCACCAGGCAAGAGTGCAGTGGCATGATCTCGGCTCACTGCAACCTCCGCCTCCTGGCTTCAAGCGATTCTCCTGCCTCAGCCTCCTGAGTACCTGGGACTACAGGCACGTGCCACCACGCCCAGCTAATTTTCATATTTTTAGTAGAGACGAGGTTTCACCATGTTGGCCAGGATGGTCTCGATCTCTTGACCTCGTGATCCACCTGCTTCAGCCTCCCAAAGTGCTGGAATTACAGGCGTGAGCCACCGCACCCGACACCCTGTCTGCCTTTTTACCACTTGAACATTCCTTGTGACTGTGAAACCTGGTCCAAATACACACATACATGCTCGCATGAACACACGGATAGATGACAGCTGGGAGAAAGCTGCAGCAGTTGCCCTGGATGCCCTGCCTGCATCCCTCAGCTTTCCTCCCCACCTATGAAGGCTGTTTACTGAGATCTTTGGCAACTCTCTGCCTGACGGTTGTTTTTCTGGCTGTGGGAGGATGGCTGGTCATGGCCACACAGCAGGCTGGAGGTGCCAGGAGTTAAGGCCCCAGAAGCAGCCTTCCAGCAATGACCCACCAGCAGTTGATGAAAAACCCTGCTGGGCACAGTGGCACACCACTGTAATCCTAGTGACTCGGGAGGCTGAGGTGGGAGGATCACTTGTGCCCAGGAGTCCAAGGATGCAGTGAGCTATGATCCTGCCACTACACTCAGGCCTGGACAACAGAGCAAGACCTTTTTTTTTTTTTTTTTTTTGAGTTGGAGTCTCACTCTTTTTTCTTTCTTTTTTTTTGAGACAGAGTTTCACTCTTGTTGCCCAGGCTGGAGTGCAATGGCGCGATCCTGACTCACTGCAACCTCTATCTCCCAGGTTTAAGCGATTCTCCTGCCTCAGCCTCCCTAGTAGCTGGGAGTACAGGCATGTGCCACCACACCCGACTAATTTTGTATTTTTAGTAGAAACGGGTTTCTCCATGTTGGTCAGGCTAGTCTTGAACTCCTGACCTCAGGTGATCTACCTGCTTTGGCCTCCCAAAGTGCTGGGATTACAGGTGTGAGCCATCAGGCCCAGCCAATTTTGTATTTTTAGTAGAGACAGAGTTTCTCCATGTTGGTCAGGCTAGTCTTGAACTCCTGACCTCAGGTGATCTGCCTGCCTTGGCCTTCCAAAGTGCTGGAATTACTGTGAGCCATCACGCCCAGCCAAGTCTCACTCTGCCACCCAGGCTAGAGTGCAGTGGTATGACTCGGCTCACTGCAACCTCCACCTTCCAGGTTCAAGCGATTATCCTCCATCAGCCTCCCAAGTAGCTGGGATTACAGGCACGTGCCACCACACCCAACTGATTTTTGTATTTGTTTAGTAGATACAGGGTTTCACCACGTTGGCCAGGCTGGTCTCAAACTCCTGACCTCAGGTGATCCACCTGCCTTTGCCTCCCAAAGTGCTGGGACTACAGGCGTGAGCCACTGTGCCCGGCCAACAGATCTTATCTCAAAAAAAAGAGGCCAGGTGCAGGGTGGCTCATTGCTATAATCCCAGCACTTTGGGAGGCTGAGGCAGGAGGATTGCTTACGCCCAAGAGTTTGAGACCAGCCTAAGAAACATAATGAGATCACGTCTCTACAAAAAGTAAAAAATTATCTGGGTGTGGTGGCATGCACCTATAGTCCCAGCTACTTGGGAGGCTGAGGCAGGAGGATCATTTGAGCTCAGGAGCTTGAGACTACAATGAGCCATGATTGTGCCACTGCACTGCAGCCTGGATGACAGAGCAAGACCCTGTCTCAAAATAATTAATTAATTAATTAAACAAGAAATCCCCTGCTGCCGGGCAGCTCGCTTGGGTCAACTCTGAGGCATATTCTGGCCTGGGCTCCCGAGCTCCCCAGAGGGCTGTAACTGCCCACAGTGGTAACTGGTTCGATGACACCTCCATTGGCATCCTTCCCTCCCCTGCCTTACTTCTTCACTCTTCTGCTGGTGTTTGCCGTGGCCACCTCCATTCATGTGTGTGTCCTCTGACCTTTGTCTCAGGGTCTGCATTCTGGGACCCCAAACCAAGATACCAAGATGAGTCTTCAACAAACTGATAATCAGGTTGAGAGGTGAAATCCACAGAGGTAGGATAATGAAGTACTATTAATAATAAGAGAGCAAGTATAATCAATTTAGCCACGATGACCTGCCTCTTTTAAGCACTGACTCTGTGCCAGGGACTGATCATTGGGCTCAATGTCTGTTATCTTGTTGAATGGTCACCAGAGTCCTTGTGTCACTCCATTTGCATTGCTCTAAAGAAATACCTGAGACTGGCTAATTTATAAAGAAAAGAAGTTTCATTGGCTCATGGTTCTGCAGGCTGTATAGGAAGTATGACACTAGCATCTGTTCCTGGTGAGGGCCTCAGGAAGCTTCCAATCATGGCAGAAGGCAAAGGGGGAGCAGGTGTCTCACTTGGTAAGAGACAGAGTGAGGAAGAGAAAGCGGTGGTAGGTGCTACACTTTTTTTTTTTTTTTTTTTTGAGATGGAGTCTTGCTCTTGTCGCCCAGGCTGAAGTGTGATGGCACAATCTTGGCTCACTGCAACCTCCGCCTCCTGGGTTCAAGCGATTCTCCTGTCTCAACCCTCCGAGTAGCTGGGATTACAGGCACACACCACCACGCCCAGCTAATTTTTTGTATTTTTAGTAGAAAAGGGGTTTCACTGTGTTGGCCAGGCTGGCCTCGAATTCCTGGCCTCAGGTGATCCACCCGCCTCAGCCTCCCAAAGTGCTGGGATTACAGGCATGAGCCACCACGCCCGGCCTCCTCTTGCCCCTTTCTTTTGGCAAATTTCTCTCTTTGGGAATAAGAATGTTTATCCAATGCCTGTACTACCATTGTATCTGGGAAGTAAATAACTTGTCTTTGATTTCACAGGCCTGTGGATTCTCAGGTGGATCCTGAGGTTAGGAGTTCAAGACCAGCCTGGCCAAGATGGTGAAACTTCATCGCTACTAAAAACATACAAAATTAGCCCATCGCAGTGGCAGACGCCTGTAATCCCAGCTACTTGGGAGCCTGAGGCAGGAGAATCGCTTGAACTTGGAGGGCGGAGGTTGCAGTGAGCCGAGATCACGCCACTGTACTCCAGCCTGGGCGACAGAGTGAGACTCCATCTCAAAACAAAACAAAACAAAAAAAGAGAGAGAGAAAGGGGCAAGAGACCCCACACAAGTCCTAAATCCAGCAGGGCAGTCATTAAATCTTTTTTTTTTTTTTTTTTTTTTTTTTTTGACAGAGTCTCGCTCTTTCCCCGAGGCTGGAGTGCAATGGCGCAATCTTGGCTCACTGCAACCTCCACCTCCCAGGTTCCAGCCATTCTCCTGCCTCAGGCTCCCAGATAGCTGGGACTACAGGCGGTCACCACCACGGCCACTAATTTTTGTATTTTTAGTAGAGACAGAGTTTCACCTTGTTGGTCAGGCTGGTCTCGAACTCCTGACCTCAGGTGATCCACCACCCTTGGCCTCCCAAAGTGCTGGGATTATAGGCATGAGCCCGAACCTGGCCCAGTCATTAAATCTTAAAGCTCTGAAATAATTTCCTTTGACTCCATGTCCCACATCCTGGGTAGCTCTGCCCTTGTGGCTTTGGAGGGTGTAGCCCCTGTGGGTGCTCTTGGTTGAAGTTGAGTGCCTGCAGCTTTTCCAGGCTTAGTATGCAAGCTGCCTGTGGCTTTACCATTCTGAGGTCTGGAGCATGGCAGCCTCCTTCCCACAGCTCCACTAGGCAGTGCCCTGATGGGGACTTTGTGGGGATTCCAATTCCACATCTCTCCTCCCCTGTGGCAGGCTATACCCCTGTGGCAGCCTTCTGCCTGGGCACCCAGTCATTCTCATATATTCTCTGACATCTAGGGGGAAGCTGTCAAGCCTCCTTGATGCTTGCACTCTGTTCACATGCAGACTTAACACCACATGGAAGCTGCCAAGGCTTACGGCTTGCACCCTCCAGAATGGCAGCCCAAGTCATACCTGGTGCCCTTTGAGCCACAGCTGGACATGGAGCAACTGGGATGTGGGCAGCACTGTCTTAAAGCTGGGCAGGGCAGCAGGACCCTGGGCCTGGCCCGGGAAACCAGTCTTTCCTCTAGGCTTCTGGGTCTGTGATGGGAGGGGCTGCCCCTAATGATTTCTGAAATGCCTTCAAGGCCTTTTTTTCCCATTGTCTTGGATATTAGCACTTGGCTCCCTTTTAATCTTGAAATGTTCTCTAGCAAGTGATTGCCCCACGGCCTGCTTGTATTCCTCTTCTGAAAATGCTTTTTTCAAGAGCCAGGCACAGTGGCTCATGCCTGTGATCCCAGAACTTTGGGAGGCTGAGGTGGGTGGATTGCCTGAGGTCAGGAGTTTGAGACCAGCCTGGCCAACTTAGTGAAACCTTGTGTCTACTAAAAATACAAAAAGTTAGCCGGCTGTTGTGGTGGGTGCCTGTAATCCCAGCTACTAGGGAGGCTGAAGCAGGAGAATCCCTTGAACCTGGGAGGTGGAGGTTGCCGTGAGCCGGGATCATGCTATTGCACTCCAGCCTGGGCAATAAGAGCAAAACTCCATCTCAAGAAAAGAAAAGCCGGCCGTGCTCACGCCGTAATCCAGCACTTTGGAGGCCGAGCGGCGGATCCAAGGTCAGGAGATCGGACCATGTGAAACCCGTCCTACTAAAATACAAAAATTAGCCGGCGCGGTGGGGCGCCTGTAGTCCAGCTACTCAGGAGCTGAGGGAGAATGGTGTAACCAGGAGGGGGTGCAGTGAGCCGAGATCGCACCATGCACTCCAGCTGGCGACAGAGCGAGACTCCGTCTCAAAAAAACAAAAAAAAAAAAAAAATGCATTTTCTTTCTCTGCCACATGTCAGGTGCAAAGTTTTCAAACTTTTAAGCTCTGCTTCCCTTTTAAATGTAAGTTCCAACTTTAAGTCATTTATTTGCTCTCATAGCTGATTATAGGTTGTTAAAAGCAGCCAGGCCACATCTTGAATGCCTTATTGCTTAAAAATTTATTTCACCAGATGCCTCAGTCATCACTCTTAAGTTCAAACTTCCACAGATCCCTAGAGCTTGGAGACAATGTGGCCAATTTCTTTGCGAGGACATAACACGGGTGACCTTTGCTCCAGTTCCCAATAAGTTCTTCATTTCCATCTGACACCTCATCAGCCTGGCATTCATTATCCATCTCACTATCAGCATTTTGGTCACAACCATTTGACCAGTCTCCAAGAAGTTCCAAACTTTCCCTCAACTTCCTGTGTTCCTCTTAGCTCTCCAAACTCTTCCAACCTCTACCCATTATCCAGTTCCAAAGCCACTTTCACATCTTCACATATCTTTATAGCAATGCCCCACTCTTGGTACCAATTTTCTGTGTTGGTCCCTTCTTGCATTGCTATAAAAAAAATACCTAAGACCATGTAATTTATACAGAAAAGAGGTTTAATCGGCTCACAGTTCTGCAGGCTGTACAGGGCACATGGCACCAGCATCTGCTCCTGATGAGGGTCTCAGGAAGCTTCCAATCATGGTGGAAGGCAGAGGGGGAGGAGGCATACCACATGGTGAAAGAGGAAGCAAGAGAGAGAGCAAGGAGAGAGGTGCCACATTTTCTTTTTTTTTAAACAACCAGATATTGTACAAACCCAGAGTAACAACTCACTCATTACTATGAGGAGGGCACCAGTCATTCAAGAGGGATCCACCCCCTTAACCCAAACACCTCCTACCAGGCCCCACCTCCAACATTGAGGATTACATTTCTTTCTTTTTTTTTTTTTTTTTTTTGAGATGGAGTCTCGCTCTGTTACCCAGGCTGCTGGAGTACAGTGGCATGATCTCGGCCCACTGCAACCTCTGCCTCCCACATTCAAGTGATTCTCCTGCCTCAGCCTCCTGAGTAGCTGGGACTACAGGAGCGTGCCATCACGCCCGGCTAATTTTTGCATTTTTAGTAGAGACAGGGTTTCACCATGTTGGCCAGGCTGGTCTCGAACTCTTGACCTTGTGATCCACCTGCCTCGGCCTCCAAAAGTGCTGGGATTACAGGCGTGAGCCACCGCGCCTGGTGAGGATTACATTTCAACATGAGATTTGGAGGGGACAAATATCCAAATCATATCAGTCCTCTACAGTTGTTACTTCATAATCTCCATTTGATAGATAAGAAAGCTGAGGTTTAGAGAAGGCTTTTGTTCAAGGTTAAGAGCTATGCTGGCCGGGTGTGGTGGCTCACACCTGTAATCCCAGCACTTTGGGAGGCCGAGGCAGGTGGATCACAAGGTCAGGAGTTCGAGACCAGCCTGGCCAAGATGGTGAAACCTCCTCTCTACTAAAAATACAAAAATTAGCCGGGCACAGTAGTGGGCGCCTGTAATCCCAGCTACTCAGCAGGCTGAGGCAGGAGAATCACTTGAACCTGGGAGGTGGAAGTTGCAGTGGGCCAAGATCATGCCACTGCACTCCAGCCTGAGTGACAGAGCAAGACTCTTTAAAAAAAAAAAAAAAAAAAAGAGTTAGGCAGTGGCAGATTGGCCTGAAGAGCCTAGGCCCACAGCAGGGGTGGTCCCTAAGCACTGACTGCATTGTGGAGAGCAGAAAAGAGACAGGCTAGAGGTCCTTGGCATGACCTTTCAGGAAGGGAGACATTGAAGCTGAGCCTTGAAGGATGGGCAGATGTTGGGAAGACGAAGAGTCTTGTGGAGGGCCTTGGGCCTCAGTTTTCCCATCTGTCAAGTAGGCCTAATAATAGTACCCCTCACATAGGGCCATTTAGGGATTAAGTGAGTTGATAGAGACATAAAGAGCCTGTAGTAAGTGTTCACTAAATGGTAATTATTATTGACTATGAATGGGAGCAATGTGAGCTGTCGGGTGTGGTCCTGGTTGAAGGTCTGAACAGGTTCCAAAGGCAGCCTTCCAGTTCCCGATCCCAGCACCCAGGCCCTGAAGGGAGAGAGCTGGAAAGGCCAAAAAAAAAAAAAAAAGAAAGAAAAAAATTAATGAGTCTGGAGTCCCTGAACTTGGGATTTTAGTCAGGCAGGCTGCATTCCTGCATTTTCTTTTTTCAAAGAACATCACAACCTCTGTCACCCAATCTTCACATCTCCATTCCCGACAACCTGGAAGTCCTCCCTGCTGTCTAACCTCTTAGCTTCCTGCTGTGCATTTTGTCTGTGGGGCAAAGAGAGAGCTAATGAATCTCAGTGATTGGCACTGGAGCTGGCTGGAAGCAGGGCAGGTAGAGCCTGTGTGTGTTCCACAGACTGTGGTGCCAGAGAAAACTCACCCTGGGTTCAAAGGCCTGTCTGGCTCAGGATGGAGGCAGTGGGCCAGGGGCCCCCACTGGAAGGTGGAATCAGAGAAGATCTTGGAGGCAGCTGCAGGTGGAGGCTGGAGACAGGCCTTGGTGAAGTCCCTATCCCAACTTCGAGGCTCCTCCCAGCTACTGCTGGGGAAGTGTTCAGGGCGGCATCTGTGAGGGGTCCTCTGCTGGGCTGCTCTGCCTTTGTCTGGGCATAACTCCTCAATGACAAGAGATTCTCCTCTCAGATTCCCCAGCTGTGGCCCTTCTGTAGCATGGAGTTGACGCCTACAGGCCCTGGCGACAAGCAGACCCAAGTTTAAGTCACAGCTCTGTCACTTATTAGCTTGTGACATTGAGCAAACCCCTTCACCTCCCTGAGCTTTCCTTATGTGAAAAATGAGGATGCCTTGCTGGCTGTACAGCCTTCACCAACCTGTTAAACAGCTGAGTTTCCATTCTCCATCTGGAGCATGGGAATGATCCATTAGCTGTTTGATCGGCAGCAAGACCCAACAGCTTGGTAAGCCTCAGTTTCCTCATCTGTAAAATGGGGACTAGAACAGTTAAGACTAAGCACCAACACACCCAAGCACCATGGCACCACCTAGGGGTGGGCTTCGGGTGTTGGCGATGGTTGGTTATTTGTTCCTCCTTTCTGAGTCTTCCTCACGTGCCTTGCCCTGGGTAGTTTTCCTCTCAGCTCTCCCAGCCAACTCTGGACAAACACAGAGAGCTGCTGGTGTGCTGGGGTCACTCTTGGGAGTGGCTACATTTTGAAATAGAGCATAGAATGACAGCAGTGCCAACCACAGGGAGGAGCTGCTGATGCTCAGCTTGGCCCAATCCATGTCCATCACAGGTTTGCAGGGAGTCAGGAGCTGGGTTGCAACTGGGCGTCGTGGCAACCAGGGGCACCAAGGCCCTTGGGGAGTCTTCCCCCCCATGCCCCTGCTTTGGCTGGGAGGGGAGAGGAGACTGCTGGCACAAAGGTTCTTCAGGGTTGGTTCACCCAGGGACCCAGGCTGAGTGGGCACAGTGCTTGGCAGGAATCCATCTCTGTCTTCTGGGAACCACCCTTTGGAGCTCAAGGAGACTGATCACAGGCCCTTCCATCCCTGGGGACCCCCTTGCAGGGACCCTGAGATTCCACACTTTGCTGCTTCCCACAGCAAAGTGACAGGGATCCCAGTGTTTCCTGTGAAATGAGCCCTGCACAGGGCTGGCATGCAGCAGGGGCCCACTGACAGTCTATAGGATGAATGAGTGATTGGAGATGCACAGGAAAAAGCAGAGGACCTAGGTTGGCCTTCAGCGCCCTCCGAGTCCTTCCGTGGGCTCTGCTAGGCTGCTCCTCTGACCTGGGCTTCCTCCCTTTCCACAGGGACATGGGAATGCTGGGATTAATGTCCCCAGTACTACTCTCAACCAAGAAGCACAGGAGTTAGTGGGTAAACAACCTGCTCCTCACCTTGGCTCTCCCGCCCCTTGGTGGGACAACCTGAAGCTGCAGGGCACAGCCCCTGAGAATGTCGCCAGAAGGCTAGAGCCCCTGTGCCAACCAGACTTGTGCTTCCCAGGATCTTCTCCCAAATAAACCACTATTCCCGAGTCCTGGCCTCAGGGTCTGCTTTAGAGGAACGCAAATGAACCCAGGGTCCCAAGCTTTGCTACTACCGGCTATGTGACCATGAACAAATGAAATAACATGTCTGAGCCTCAATTTCCTCACACATCTGGTGTCTCCATGATGGCTGCTCTCCACTGTGGTGAGGGTAGCAGGGTAACATTGCCTGGAAGGGTGGGGTGCAGTCTATGGACTGAGAGTACCTGGCTGGTTTCCTCTGGAATTGCTCTCCGGGGGTGGTGAAGCTGTCTGCATACTCTAACAATGGATGCATGACATTGCACATTTTTCAGAAGCCATGGAACTGCACAAAATGAAAAATGAGCCCTCATGCAAACTGTGGCGTTTAGTTAATGATAATGTATCAATATTGGTTCCATAGTTGTAACATACATATCACACCAGAGCACCAGGGTAATCATAGGGGAATCTGTGAGAGGGTGAGGGGGTATATGACAACTCTATATTATCTGCTCAATTTTTCTGTAAACCTAACACTGTTCTGCAAAAGTAAAGTCTCTTAATTAAAAAGAAAAAGAGCAATCTGTGGGCAGCCAGCGCAGGGCTTTCTTCGGAGTTGCTCTCCCAGGAGTCCCACCCACCCTGGATGAGGGTCAGAAGGGAGGAGGATGCTGGCTGGCTGGCCACATGCATCAGCTAATCAGCAGGATGATTCAGCCACTGGACTCCTTCCCTGCCCGGGATTCCAGGAGGGACTGGCCTGGTCACAATGCGGACTCAGGAGGTTAGAATCTTCCTGTGAACCAGGCAGATGCCCTGCCCGTCCCAAGGCCCTTGGGAGGCTGGGGAGGGGAAGCAGGTGTGGAGAGAGAATGAAAGCCACCTCCCCAAGCATGACAGCCTGTCTGGTTCTGTCAGCTCCTACACTGTGACATGCCCCATCATCCCCTCAGTCTAGGGGCCCCAGAGGGCAGAAAAGTCACCCTCACCCTCCATATCCTGTCATCTTCAAGGACCGCTGTAATTTGCTCTTGAATCCCTTGAATCTGTCCACTTATCTCCCTTCCTGTTTCCCTCCCCCACATCCAGCCCCGGCACCTGCCGCCTGGACCCTGTGGCAGCCCCTCCCAGCAGTGCTGCACTCAGACACTGGGAGTGGGCTTCAAAACCCAGCTACCAGCCAGTCCTCCCAGGCAAAAGCCCTCCATGGCTTCTCATTGCTTAAGACAAAGACCAATCCCTTCCTGTGATTCCAAGTCCTGCCTGACCTCGGCCCCATCTCTTGCTGGGGCCCCTCCTGCTCCATTACAGCTGCGCTGCTTGCTCCTTCCTGGAGCATATTCACTGTGCTCCTTCCTGCCACTGTGCCTTTGCACTTTCCATTCCCCAATGCTTGGAATGTCAGTTCAAGTGTCACTTCCTCAGGGAATCCCTCCTGCCTCTCCCTGCCTCTCCACCCATCCCCTACTGCTCTAGCCTCGCTTGGGAGAGCTCCAGTCTTACATCACCACACCCCACTCTCTCACAGCACACGGCACAGTTCAGTATAATGTAGGTAAGTGATTCAGACCTGTACCCAAGCTTGAATTCCACAAGGGCAGGGCTGTGTCTACTTGGGGTCACTATAGTACCCCAGCATCCTGTACAGCAGTGGCACACAGCACAGACTCAATAAATATTTGTCAAGTGGCTGAATGCAGCCCTCCACACCAGACTGCTTGCCTCGAAAGTTAGAGGCTGGGTTTGGTCAACCACAGACTGGAGAGCCCCTTCCAGAGAAAACCTGCCCAACTTTGAAGGCCAGGCTCTGATGATTTTTGCAGCGCTGGGGCCTCAGGAAGGCAGCACTGCATTCGGCGCCTGGGGATGCTTCTGAGCGCCCTGGTTGTCTCGGCATTCTGGTGCCTGGCGAGGGGTTGGGGGCTGCACTCCTGCAGACCTCAGTCAGGTCTCCTCTGTTCTTAGGCTGGCCCAGCAGCTGGGGGCTGTGGGAGGAAGAGGCCGATTGCTCAGGCCAGGCCTGCTCTACATCTGGCCAGCAGCCTCCCCCGCTGCCCCAGGACAAGGGCCCCAGTGTCTGCTCAGCTCCTACAAACAGCAAGCCTTTCTCTCCCTCTCCACTCTGGAGCCTCAGCTGTGACCCCTCCCTGCCCCCTCGGAAGGCACAGCCCTGGATGCATGACCTTTTCCTTCTGAATGATTCGGAAACAGAGGCTGACAAACCCGGCGCGGGAGCAGGTCCTGTAAAGTGGATGAACCCCTCTATTTCATCCGTTCCCAGCTTTGGCCGGGCAGCCGGGGCGAGGACTGGCTGGGAGGGCCTTAGTCCTGCCAAGATGGGGTGGGGTGCGGCTAGAGGCCAGGGCCAGCCCAGGTGGACTTGACGTCATGCTTTTCACCTGTATCTCTTTCAGACAAAGCCTGCTCCTTCCTGCCTGGCCCTGCCCCCGGGGAAGTTTTCCATGCTGCTCTCTTTCCCCACAGGATCACAGGCCTGATGCTTCCCTTCCCAACCCACCTTTCTTGTTGGCAGGTGAGGTGCCAAGGCCTGGGCACATTCACAGAGACCTGCACTGCTTTTCTCCTGGTGCAGGGTCCCCCTCCAGAGTCTGGAGACAGGAGGAATGGCCAGAGGCCACCCCTCTCCTTGGGAGCTCCTGCCAGATGCCAACCTGGGCTTCAGGATGGGATGACCTCAGAGGGCAACTCAGAACTGTAATTAGCCTCCACTGTAATCCCCGCCACTCCCAACTCAGACTCAGAACGCAGGGGGCTTGGCGGCTCAGCCCAGCCCCCCAGCTTCCTCCTCCTAGCCAGCGGGTGTAACAGGCACTCAAAAACTGATTACTAAACAGGGAAGGGGACTTGGAGGCCTGATTTTGGAGATCTTGATAAAATCTTGCCTTATACATGTCCCATTCTTGGTCATCCGTACAAAACAAAATTCCACCGTTAGATGGTCATTCCTTTAGATCTACACACACTTGTCTTTTTTTAGAATCCTCAGGTCTAGGCAAATAATGACAATTACAGGTAATATTTGTTGACTGAGCTAGGTGTTTTACAAAGTAGTTACTTATGCTAGACATTTCCATCTGCCCCTCCAGCTCCTCTGCCCACTCTTCTGCCCTGGCTGTGTGCCCCAAGAGGGTGACCTTTGTGGCCTGAATCACCCAGCTCCCTTGCCCTCTGGTTTCCTATTAAGCTGTGCCAATGGGAGGCATTGGTAAGAGACTAGAGGGTGGAGGAGAGAGAGGTGGGTGTATCTGTTCCATCAGGTCCCCACTTCCCCCCAGGCTGGCAGTGTCTGGGCCTTGCCCTCCAGAAGGCTATATTTCCCTCCTTGGCCTTTTCAGGCCTGAGTGGTAACAGCTTCCTGCAGTTGCCTGCTCCAGGGTGCTGCACTACCCCTGGTGCCCACACCTCTGCAAGTCCATCCATTCACTAACCTCTTTTTTTTTTTTTTTGGCTCTTTTCAGTTTATTGCATGAAGGAGTTACACTAGTCCAAGTTAAAAGCGGACCCCAAATGGTTACATTATACAAGCTGTGAGGTTTTTAAACTTGTGACAAGGGACAGAAGGGAAATTCTACTCATTGCAAGGAAATCCTCACTTAAGCTTCAGTGAGCCACAAGCACTTAAAACCCATGAACCTTCAGCTGATCGTCCTTAGCCAGTCCAATCTCTACGAGGAACTGGCATATGTTCTTGCGTTGGTCACCCTGTAGCTGAATTACTTCTCCATATTCTGGATGCTCAATTACAGTACCATTGCAGGCAAACTTCTTCTTAAACGCCTTCACTAGTTTCTTTTTATCGTAATCATCAGCGATCCCTTGGACAGTAGTAAGGGTCTTCCTGCCGTTTCTCTGTTGAATTCTTATATGGATATAATCCTCAGTGCCAGCAGGAAGCAGGTCATCACCCTTACTTGCATCAGCAAAGGGGTCGAAAGAGTGGAGGTTCTGGATAGCGGACATACGATACGATTCCTTTTCCTCGGTGGAAATGGCCTGCAGAAGGCGGCGGCGGCGGGAGAAGGCGGGCAGGGGGGACGGAACGTCGGGAAGCGAGGGGGCTCGAGGGGGAGGCTGCTGAGTCCTCGGCGGCGGCTCAGTGACTGGGGTAACCTCTTTTTTTTTTTGAGACAGAGTCTCACTCTGTCACCCAGGCTGCAGTGCAGTGGTACAATCTTGGCTCACTGCAACCTCTGCCTCCCAGGTTCACACGATTCTTGTGCCTCAGCATTCCTAGTAGCTGGGACTACAGGCGTGCGCCACCACACCTGGCTGATTTGTGTATTTTAGTTAGAGACAGGTTTTCACTATGTTGGTCAGGCTGGTCTCGAACTCCTGACCTCAAGCGATCCACCTGCTTCGGCCTCCCAAAGTGCTGGGATTACAGGTGTGAGTCACCGTGCCAGCCCACTAACCTCTCTTTAATCACCTGTTGGGGGTGTGTTGCCAACTTCCTGCCAGGACCTGGCAGATACAGGTCTACATTTTTATTTTACATAGAAGGAAATGGAGACCCAGAGAGGCTGGGAGCTTCTCTACCCAGTTAGAGGCTGGAGCTAGGACTCCAGAAATTTTGCTCCAGGACTTGTCTTATCTTTCTTTCTTTTCTTTCTTTTCTTTCCTTCCTTCCTTCCTTCCTTCCTTCCTTCCCTTCCTCCTTCCTTCCTTCCTTCCTTCCTCTCTCTTCTTTCTTTCCTTCTTTCTTTCCTTCCTTTCTTTCTTTTTTTCTTCTTCCTTCCTTCCTTCCTTCCTCCCTCCCTCCCTCCTCCCTCCCTCCCTCCCTCTCCTTCCTTCCTTTTCTTCCCTTCTCCTTCCTTCCTTCCTTCCTTCCTTCCCTCCCTCCTCTCTCTCTCTCTCTTTCTTTTTTTTTTTTTTTGACGGAGTCTCGCTCTGTCACCCAGACTGGAGTGCAGTGGAGCAATCTTGGCTCACTGCAACCTCTGCCTCCTGGGTTCAAACAATTCTCTGCCTGAGCCTCCTAAGTAGATGGGATTACAGGCTCCTGCCACCACACCTGGCTAATTTTTGTATTTTTAGTAGAGATGGGCTGTTGGCCACAGCTGGTTGTGAACTCCTGACCTCGTGATCCACCCACCTCAGCCTCCCAAAGTGCTGGG